TAACCTGCTTTCAGGAAAACAAATTAAAACCACTTTCGTGTTCATGAAAATACTCCACAAGTGCGATCAGTGACATGGAATATTTTAAATTATTCATAATTTTCGAAGACTTCAATGTTTCACAATATTCACTTTTGTTTTTCAAATAAAACCTCGAAACGCGGGCGGAAATGCTGGAGAGCGGTACCGTACGATTGCACGATTCATGAATTTTCAGTAGCCATGAGTAAATTGACGGGGCAACAGGACGCCTTTACTGTGCTTTTTCTGAGTGATTTTTTTCATATTGTTTTAGGTGAGAAAGCTGGCCTTTGTAGGTTAAACCGGGTTCGGAGGCCACAACCCAACCGGTATCCGTTTGTTATGTACATTAATCGGGGTATCCCTGAGGTGTGCCTGGTAGGTGCGAACAGTGACATGGAATATTTTAAATTGTTCATAATTTTCGAAGATTCAAAATTAAAATTTGATTTGTACATCAAAAGGGCGATTGAGATTGCTGAGACGAAGTAATTCGTACGTATGTTGTTTCATTTGGAGGCCAGTGGACACATGGAGTTTTATCAGCACGAAAACTACAGGATAAGTTTATTGTGAGCAAGTGGTCGGGTGGAATTTGCTTAGGTTTTTGATACGACATGAATAATAATCTAAACAATATGAGGGTTAAATACCTGAGGTCATGTAACCATAATCGTTTGTTTTATTTTATTTTTTTATTACTAGGCTAAGGAAACTCCTTCGCGGGATGCCGCCGCAGCCCCTCGCAGAAGAGGAAGACCGCGCAAAACACGCGATGAGGTGAGTTTTTGACATTTGATAGGAAAATCGACATTTAAGAGGCAAAATACGGATTTTACTCACTGTTATTATTCAAATTGATACACTCTTATAAAAAATTGTGCCATACCCAAATTTTCATCTGGATATATTTAATATGCCAACATAATGGAATCGGTCGTTCCAAAAACTACTTCAGTCATATTTTTTCCAAGAAGAATCTAAACAATATGGGGGTTAAATACCTGAGGCCATTTAACCATAATCGTTTGTTTTATTTTATTTTTTTATTAGAAGGTTAAGGAAACTCTTCCTACGCGGGATGCCACCGCAGCCCCTCACAGAAGAGAAAGACCACGCAAGACACACGATGAGGTGAGTTATTCACATTTGATAGCAAAATTGACAAAATACGGATTTTACTAGCTGCTATTATTCAAATTAATACACTCTTATAAAAAATTGTGCCATACCCAAATTTTCATCTGGATACATTTAATATGCCAACATAATGGAATCGGTCGTTCCAAAAACTACTTCAGTCATATTTTTTCCAAGATGTTTTCTCTGGAGGCAAGATTCCAGTACATACGAACTTAATGTTCGTAGGTCAAATAGTTGTCGTGATGAATTTCTAAGCATTTGCACGGATTTGGATCCGTTAAAGTCCCATCACCTGCCAGTTTTCTAGCTTTCACGATCTTCTTCCTTTGGTCTCCTAAAAACTTTATTTATTTTTTCTTCTGCGATTCTATCCCACTGTCGTGTCCTGAATTTCAACTTCCATGACGGTATCTTCTTCAAGAGTACTATCTGTTTCCCTCCTCTCTTCTTCTTCATTTCATGTTTTGTGGTCCAGCTTTTCCCTACGAGTACCGGGTTGCTACAATCCATCCTCCCACTAATCTATCAGGAGGATAAGAGGCAATTTGATTCCTAGGAGGCTCCCTTTAAGACACCGTTTCAACCGGTGTCATGAGACAAAGTAATTCCTACGTCTGTTGTTTCATTTGGAGGCCAGTGGACACATGGAGTATTATCAGCTCGAAAACCACAGGATACGTTAATTGTGAGCAAGTGGTTGGGTGGAATATGCTCAGGTTTTTGATACAACATGAGTAATAATCTAAACAATATGGGGGTTAAATACCTGAGGCCATTTTAACCATAATCGTTTGTTTTATTTTATTTTTTTATTAGAAGGTTAAGGAAACTCTTCCTACGCGGGACGCCACCGCAGCCCCTCACAGAAGAGAAAGACCACCCAAGACAAACGATGAGGTGAGTTATTAACATTAGATAGCAAAATTGACATTTAAGAGACAAAATACGGATTTTATTAGCTGTTATTATCCAAATTGATACACTCTTATAAAAAATTGTGACACCCAAATTTTCATCTGGATTCAAGGAATATGCCAACGGAATGGAATCGGTCGATCCAAAAACTACTTCAGGCATATTTTTTCCAAGATGCTTTCTCTGGAGAAAAGATTCCAATACATACGAACTTAATGTTCTACTTACTACTGTCGGGATTTTGTATTTTATAAAAAAAGTACTTGTTTCAAATGTACTTTTTCTACATTAATTACTTATAGTTCAATAGAACATAAGTGGTTTGCAATTTTCAAGGAATCTAGTGATCTAATATGTATTTCAAAACAACCTGCTTTCAGGAAAACAAATTAAAACCACTTTCGTGTTCATGAAAATACTCCACAAGTGCGATCAGTGACATGGAATATTTTAAATTATTCATAATTTTCGAAGACTTCAATGTTTCACAATATTCACTTTTGTTTTTCAAATAAAACCTCGAAACGCGGGCGGAAATGCTGGAGAGCGGTACCGTACGATTGCACGATTCATGAATTTTCAGTAGCCATGAGTAAATTGACGGGGCAACAGGACGCCTTTACTGTGCTTTTTCTGAGTGATTTTTTTCATATTGTTTTAGGTGAGAAAGCTGGCCTTTGTAGGTTAAACCGGGTTCGGAGGCCACAACCCAACCGGTATCCGTTTGTTATGTACATTAATCGGGGTATCCCTGAGGTGTGCCTGGTAGGTGCGAACAGTGACATGGAATATTTTAAATTGTTCATAATTTTCGAAGATTCAAAATTAAAATTTGATTTGTACATCAAAAGGGCGATTGAGATTGCTGAGACGAAGTAATTCGTACGTATGTTGTTTCATTTGGAGGCCAGTGGACACATGGAGTTTTATCAGCACGAAAACTACAGGATAAGTTAATTGTGAGCAAGTGGTCGGGTGGAATTTGCTTAGGTTTTTGATACGACATGAATAATAATCTAAACAATATGAGGGTTAAATACCTGAGGTCATGTAACCATAATCGTTTGTTTTATTTTATTTTTTATTACTAGGCTAAGGAAACTCCTTCGCGGGATGCCGCCGCAGCCCCTCGCAGAAGAGGAAGACCGCGCAAAACACGCGATGAGGTGAGTTTTTGACATTTGATAGGAAAATCGACATTTAAGAGGCAAAATACGGATTTTACTCACTGTTATTATTCAAATTGATACACTCTTATAAAAAATTGTGCCATACCCAAATTTTCATCTGGATATATTTAATATGCCAACATAATGGAATCGGTCGTTCCAAAAACTACTTCAGTCATATTTTTCCAAGAAGAATCTAAACAATATGGGGGTTAAATACCTGAGGCCATTTAACCATAATCGTTTGTTTTATTTATTTTTTTATTAGAAGGTTAAGGAAACTCTT